GGGTGGGAGCTCATTCCACCAGGGGGATGGCGACCTCATGGGCTCTTTTTAGAGGGGTGCCTGTGGCTGATATTTGTGCAGCGGCTAATTGGGCGTCGCCGCACACTTTTGTGCGGTTTTATCGGTTGGACGTTACAGCCCCTTCGGTGGCTCATGCTGTCCTTTCTGCTGGGTCTACCACTCACTAAGGATGTGGTGGTCCCGTTCCGGTTCGGTGGCTGCTCTGCGGGGCGTGTATATAGGTCCCATACTTATGTGTTGTACCGAGTGAATCGACTGAAAGGGAACGATTAGTTATGTCTATAACTTCTGTTCCCTGAAGGAGAGGAACGAGGTACAACACAGGGTGGCCCCACTGAGCAGTTGGCTCGGTGAAGAGCAGCTATCGAACTGAGGGATGACGGTGATGGCAGCGGCTATATGTGCGGGCGGGGCCTTGCGCGTGTCATCACACGTCATCTGCCGTAAAGGCGTGAATAAAGGTTTCTTCAGCCAGGACACGCGAGGGCGTGATATCCCATACTTATGTGTTGTACCTCGTTCCTCTCCTTCAGGGAACAGAAGTTATAGACATAACTAATCGTTTTCATTCAAAGGCTTTATGATTTTTCCTATAATGGTGGGCCGGTCTCTAGTCAAAATGCCCGGGCCGATTTTCTGTCCCAGTCCAGCCCTGTATGCAGCTCATCTGCAGTCTGGTGTTGCCTACATCTTCCTATTCGGAAGGCAGAATTTCAGAGTTCTGAGTACAATCGAAAGCACCACGACTGCAGTTTTTGTGTTGGATGTAAAAGGCGCACATGACGCTGTGACGTAGGCTAGAATCATGGCGGTCAGGTGTGGGATTTCTCTCGTGGAAATGTGCACATTATTTTTTCCTTTCTATTGGTAGGTGGCACAGTGCACTTGTGGCAAGTAAGCAAGCTAGAAGACTGGCAAAGTTATGGAAACAACACATTAACAAGAGAATTCTGAGTAAAACCAAACTTACTTTTCCTAGTAACTAGTTACTTTGAAAGTAACAAGTAACTTGAAGTAACTGAGTTACTTTTGATAGAAGTAACTAGTAATGTAACTAAGTTACTAATTTAAAGTAACTTACCCAACACTGCTCTTTAGACTACGATGACCTGGATGACTGAGAATCTTCACAGACATACTACCAAAGATACTTCTGTCAGTCAGATTATTCTGAAGAGGTCAATGATTCATTTGCCAGCAGCTGCAGAGTCTGGAGTTAAGATACTTAGCAAGTCCACTGGCAACGTTACCTGTAACATGAAAAACCAAACAGCCTTCCTGCACATGACTTCTTTGAGCTCTGTTTTCAGTCTCCACCACTCTCTGTGGGGAATATCTAAATGAGCTTTTTATCTGCAAAATACTCGTTTCATTCTAGTCTTTCCATTTCTGGCTGCCAAGAGAGTGTAAAGGGGCTTTTTATGCCTCTTACTCTGGAAACTAATAAGAGCAAAAATGAGGGTAAAATGGTGTCCAGACAGCTAATCAATGTGCTCACTATAGCACGCCTAAAAACTGAGCAGAACCACCAAATGAGCTGAAAACACTTTGTCAGGTCCAATGCTGCCAGAGACAGTTTCCACTTAGGTTTATACAGATATTTCTTGAATTGTTAGGAAGCTCTTAGAGTACTTTATGCTGGGTATTTGTATTGAACGAGGTGAGAATGAATGAACAAACAATCTGTTCCTGTGAGGGAGGCAAATGCATCTCTTCCCACTTGATGGACTAGCATCTTTCAGCTTGAAGACATCAAAAGCTCAAAGTTGAAAGATCTTTAATCAACCCGAACAAAACTGAGAGAGTCTCTGGATCACAAACTGCACAGTTCTCAGCAGCACAGCAGAACCAGGAGCAAAAATGTGGCTCAAAGTCAAAGGTTGGAGGTCAGTGTGTCAGAGATCGTTAATGATGAGTTGCGGTTCTGTATTAAAAGCGCGGCGAGGTGCCTCATTGCCTCTGCACAGCCAATTAGTACTGAGTATTCTCTGTTCTTCAGAAACTAGACTAAAATTTAGTCTAAAGTGCAGGAATGGAGATGAAACTCTCTGCAGCAACCAAACGGACAAAAGTGTATTATTTTTTCTTCATACTGCAGCATCAGAGCAGAGTCTGCAGTCGGTGGAAGGCTCAATAACTAGCAGCTCGATAACAAGCAATGACCACAAATAAAAGCTTTTACGGCTGCTCGGCTTTTCCAATAATACCAGAACACAAGAGGCTTGACGTGCCGCCTCGTATCTCTCATCTGTAGGCTGCAGACCAGCTGCCTGCGTGAAGAAGAGTTTTCATTATGAAAGTGACAAAAACAGTTTCAGATATTAAGTTGCTGTGAGGTGAAACGACTCCCACAGGTCCTGTAACGGGGAGGTTACCAAGTAATATACGGAGGGCGGAGGTGCCAGGTCTGACTGGATGTTGGAGTCTTGCTTCAATTTTTGTCAAAATCCAGTATTGACTGGGCTCATTTATCCAGAATAAATAAGGGAGGGTTCAGGACCACCTATCCAGCCCTAAATGTATCAAAAAGGAAAACTTTGATCTTATGAGTAGAGAGGGTGTGTGTCTCCTGAAAGCAAGCTGGGAGCTGGCCCCACAGGAGAGGTGTCTGCCTCCCCTTCTACTTTGAAATGCCCCGTGCTGGCACGAATGGTAACGAGATCATTCACTCTGACAACAAAGCAGAAGTTGATCCAGTTTTCTTTTCCTCATTTTCGATGTTGTTGTTTCGATTGATTTCCTTTGTTTCTCGTGTCCATCTGTTCCCGTCAACTATAACGTGTTCCTCCTGTCCACCTTGTAGACACTCATTCATTACTGCTCATTAAAGGCCTTCAGCAGTGCCTCTCTCGGCGCCTTAGACTTTGTTTGAAATATCTTCACAATAACCCAGCATGTGAGCTTAAATCCATTCAGATCTGTGCACACTTACTGACTCTCATTTATGGTGACGGTAACATCTTCGAGTGTCCTTGTTGTTAGTTATAGAGCACTAAGAAGAATATTTTGCAGGTTGATAGTGTTTTTGTTCAAGTCTTATTCTCACTTTCCTTGTCCATTAGCTGTGTAATTGTTCTCATCCATCAAGCTTTTTCTTCTCTCACAGCACTTTTACCTTTGAAATGGATGGTGGTAATTAAAACACAGACCAAGAGTTTAAGACAGATGAAAGCAGCTTTTTAATTTTAGTTATCAGCTTTTACTTTCACCATAAAAATGACGACTCCTGGAAAAGTATTTAAAAAAAAAACCCTATAGTTAAAGCACTGAAAGAATGAAGGGTAAAGCAATATGAAATGTCATGACTCACAAAACGTAATTTTTCAAAAGAAGAGTTTAAAAGTGTTTTCAGTGATGGCAGGGTTTGAAACTTTCATCTCTTCAGTCATGACAAAGGAATCCTTTCAGATCAGTTTGTACCAGTTTTAACCTCAAAGCAAAAAGGAACGAGTCATCCTGGAGACTCGTGCTGAGAGAGGAGGCAGATCTGATTAATAACTTTGGGTTAGAAATCTCTGGGCTTAATTAATAATATTTGAAATCAATTCTGCAGGGAACAAACAATCAGAGCAGTGTCGTCCAAAATGCGTTCATTGCCTCATGCTTTTAGATTAGCCGAAGGCCTTAGAGGGATGTTTTACTGATGCCAAAGAACAAGAAATTACCACAGACTACCTACAATTTAGCATGTGACATACACCATCTAAGGCTTTACCTGCTTTAGATGCTTTGGTTTGGTTCTACTGCGTGACAGAAATGAAAAAACATCAGCTTAAACCAGCTCAAAAGCAAACAAACACAAACTAAATTACAGTGCATTATATGACTACTGTACTTATATGTACTTACAGGGATGGCTACAGTGTCCAAGATCAGTGATTGGCTGTCAGGTTGGCACATTTTTAACTCACTCACACTTCTGTAGGCTTCATTCACTGAACACAGCCAATCCAGTGTGAGCATGATCATCTTGAATGTTATATTATATCCACCGAAGAGGGGCCTGAAAACTGAAGGCTCTGCCTCCCATTCTACTTTTAAATACTCTAGGAACAACAAGTAGGCCTGCAGAGCGAGAGCGAAGTGCTCTAATAGGGTGATATGGTACTACAAGGTCATTAAGATAAGATGGGGCCTGATTATTTAAGACCTTGTATGTGAGGCGCAGGATTTTAAATTCTGGATTTAACAGGAAGCCAAAACAGGAGAAATCTGCTCTCTCTTTCCTGTCAGGACTCTTGCTGCAGCATTTTGGATTAACTGAAGACTTTTCAGGGAGTTTTTAGGACTTCCTGATAATAATGAATTACAGTCGTCCAGCGTAGAAGTAATAAATAAATGAAATAATTTTTCAGCATCACTCTGAGACAGGATGCTTCTAATTTTAGCAATACTGCAAAAATTAAAGAAAGCAGTCTTACATATTTGTTTAATATACATGTTGAAAGATAAAGGATTCATCTAAACTATGAATCATGTAGAGCTACTCTAGAAAAGCACTAGATGAATCTGCTTTGAGTTACAGTTTGTACACACTAATTGAACCAATGTTATTCAGGCGAAGGTTTCAGCAAGTGGTCAACTGGGTTTTAGTGAAGTCTTTAGACACATCAGCCCAGATTTAACTTGACACGGATTCTCAACAGAATATAAACTGTTCCCCGTTCAACATGCTCCTAAATGCTTGCTGTGTACTACAGTCTGATGCTCACAGTAATGAAGCTGCTACAGAGCATTACCCAGAGATGTGTCATTACCCAGCCTGCAGGGAGCACACACACCATCAGGCTCATCAGTGTTTACATCCCTTCATTGGCGTCAGGACACGACAGAGGTGAACCGAGGGTCGAATTGATTTCCTGTCCACCTCCCTTTCCTCCACAAACACAGCAAAATGTTCAGCGCCGCCTCTGCAGAGTCCATCTTACCCTGCGTCTGTCTTAATGCTGCGCGTGTCTCTGTGTGTTTTCTATTTTTAGCTGTCGGGCTGCAGATGTCCTTGGATTGGCTGGAAAAGCGGTTCTGGGCCATCGCCAAGCAGGTGACCGCAGGACTCACTTTCACACAAACACACATTGTCTGATTTCTTTCATTTTTGAGGTCATTTCATTGACCTGTGTTTATTGTCTAGAGGTTGACAGGAAGTTTAAGTGACTTTTCCCTTAAAAAGCGGGCTGAAGCTGACTACAGAAACACAAACCAGTTAAAGGTGTTGGTGGAGATTGTGTTTTAAGTGTACCTTAGAACATCACAGCCAGGCATTTGCTTCCTACCAAAACCTTTGAAATGTTTCTAATTCCTTATTTTGTAACCTTTGCTGTTTACATGTAGAGATTTTCTCTCATAATCTCTCAGTTAGGGGTCACCATATGAATTTGTCAGAATAATGTGACAGGCAGCAGCATCTGTTCAAATCAAGCACTTTAAGTTACGAGTTAATGTCAAACCAAATGCAGGGTCCGCTTAGAGAGACCATCCACCTTGCAGTGGTTCTTCCGAGCAGAAATAGAAACTGCAACAGTTCAAGATAGTGGATTTGATGTCTGTCAGACTGCAGGATGACAAATGCCACACCGGGGCTGAGGATTTCTTAATATCAGAGATGGAACTTTCAAAATAAGAGCATGGAGGACAGCAGAGCGTATTGGAGGAGTGAAAAAGACAAAGAAAAAAGACACTAAAATCAGTTGCTAAATATATTTGAGTCTCATGCCAGCCCACATCCTACCACACATTTAACTGGTATATCTGATATACTGTAGTTGGTATAGTTAGCTGCTTTATTTGTTGCACATGTACAACCGTCTTTGCAACCCACTTTTTCCTTTTGTGCAGTTTCTAAATAAAGGGTTAAGTGCTCTTTATATTTAACATAGCATTCTGACTTCGAATGGGCTTTGTATTTGACTTTTATTAATTAATTAAATATCTCTAAAAAAAAAACCAGTTGGCTTATGAAACTGGTATTTGTAAATGTGTGTATATGAGAACGATGAACTGGAGCAACAAACTGCAAAGACAAACACCTGCCAGTCAAGACTAAGGGCCAACTCAGCAGCTCAACTCAAGCTGACATTAACATTAGCTCAAAGGCTTTAATTGCCTTTTTTCTAAAGTGGATAAAACATGCGGATGTATTTTAATTTCTTTGTTTCTTTCTTATTTCCTGCCCTGATTTGGTGAAATGAAACATGCACTTCCTGTTACAGAACTCTTATTCACACCATCATTTTCAATGGATGGAGCAGCTGGGATTTCAAAGACCACGGCACTAGTTTTCTGTCAAATTCTGCTAAATTGACCCTGAACACAGAGACTTCCTCAACATGCACCTGGTGGGAGTCTGGCATTGATCGGATATTGATGTTACAGCACTGATAACTTCATTGCAGAATAGAATTGAAGACTAACCGATTCACAGTTGTGTTACTTTTCTATGTCCTCTGATATAAAAACTAAGATCTGACTGAATATACAGTATCAGAGGACAAACAGAGGCTTGTTTTTAGCATCCTAATTCCCTGCTGAACTGTATTCTGGCTGTGACCTTGTACAAACTGTCTGCTGTTGCAGGTTTGATCTGAAACAGTGCAGACTTTTGAGAATATTTAAAGCCAGAGGTGCTAAAATGTAAATAAGCTATCAAGCCATCCAAGTTTTATATCTCCGCCCCCCTGTGGGATCATAAACATCTTCGTGGTGGAGATGCAGCTTCGTCTGCAGTTGGGCCAGAGTCTTCCAGGTAGTTAACAAGCAGCACCAAATGTCACCAAGTTTCCAAGGACACAGAAGAGATTCTTGCTTGTGACTGTTCAGTTATAATCCTCCTTCAATTTTCCTTTTTGTTCATTAGAGAGCAAAAATCATTAAGTGTAGGCGATAATTCTCTCCGACCTTTCATTAGGATTAAACCAAAATGTGCATATAGAATAAAGTCAATAAGATCAGAAGCTAGTGGATTTCATTCTTAATAATACATCAGAAATGGATTGTGCTCTTTAGTTAGTCCTGTTGGGTCATTTAGTCTAAAGAGGTCCCATTTTTGCTCATTTCCTTCTCCATGTGTCTCTTCTTGGACTTATTAAGCTTTTGCACAGAAATATCAGAAAGTGGGTGATGTTGGTACTACAGCAGACCACCATCGTAAATGACGTCTGTTTATCCCAACACAAAACAGAGTGTTGATTTCTTTTCAAGAAAGACCCTTAAGTAAATTATAACAATGAGCTTTGGTTGTAATGAACTGTGGTGCAGATAATCCCTCAGATGGTTGAACCAAACAAGAGATGTAGGCCCAACTCCAGTCTGGCCCTCCAACCTCTCCCTGAGCTGTGAAAAGGACTGAACATTAAATGTTTCAAAGCAACCAGCATTGTGGAAATGGGCTGTAAAGCGCTCGCTCCAACACCAAGTCTGCTTCTTGCCAACCGCACTCTGAAGGTGCTGCAGCCTTTTCATGTAAAATATCGAGGTGTGATTAGATCAGGATTGTGACCGAAGTAAATAAAAGTGGCTTTCTCTTCAACTTGATTATTCATCTGGTTTCTGACTGTATTTATCCTGTAGCTTTGAGAAAATCCCCACAAAAAATTGACCTGTCAGCACCTGGCATGGTGAGGAATAGTGTCTCCAATCAGAGGAACAGGAGCTACAGGAGATAACAGGACCAAATCCCAGCCACACATTATCTAATAGTTAATGGTTTTGATCTTGATCGTCTCTGTAATAGATGTAAGAAGGTGCTAATTACAAAACCTTTTTCCCATCTGATAAAGAGAAGGAAAGATTGCTGCTGTATTTCTACCTAGTGACTCCAAGCAGAGGTATTTTTGTCATGGACTGGAACGACTGCAGAGCACAAGAAGAGCCCCTTATAATTTAGGAAACAGACTTTATTTTTTTTCCCCCTGATGGTGAAGATCTAATAGAAGCAAACTGAGCTCTGCAGGTTTCCTTCCTGCTGTGTAATAAGCTGAAAATTGGCTACAAACTTTTGATCCTGTTGAAAAAGTTGTCCCCAGAAGGCCGGCTAGTATTACACTCTCTCCGCAGGTCTTTGACCTTGCAAACGTCCCCCCCTGCAGTTAAGTGAAGCAGAAGCAGAGCTGCAGATGTCCCGTGGAGGTTGATGGTGTAGATAATGTTATTAATAGGAGCTGACAGCTGTGACGGGCTGGATTAATGTATTTACAGGATAGCTTCAGTGCCGACACTAACTCATCCGACCGACTCAACACATTTACATTCTCTTGCAGCTGATTTACAGTTTCTGAGCTTCGTAACGTGTCATTCCCTTTCAGTAAAAACCTCTCAGCCTCGGTGGAGTTTAAAGTTTGGGGATTAGAGGTTCTCGTCTTCAAAACAGGATGTAAAAGTATGCCTTCTTGCATTTTTATAGCAGAAAACTGATCCTGGCGAGTGGAAACTGAAGCTGTTGGTGCTCTTAAACCAAATGATGGTGTGTGACCCAAAATAAAACCACATCTTATGCAAGTAGATGCTCTTTGTGACAGTTTAAGCAGATTAAAGGGATCATTTAAGGAAGCTCGATTCAAAAATCTGAATTTGAAAACTGCAGCAGCGTGAGGGTGAAAGCTGCTGTCATCCGTCCTCACCTGCATCGTATAAATTTTCTGTGTTTATCACAGAAACGGATTCACAGCCGAGCTTTAGTTTTCTGCAGGATGCCAACATAAATGTTGCTTAATGTTTCTCATAATCTCTAATTTCTTATAATAATTACATTTTAATTTATGCATCACTCTTTTCACTGTCTGTTTCATCTTGCAGCCCAACGACACAGATGTAAGTAAACATTAATTATATTAATTATGTTGTTTTTACTGGTTTATTACTTTCCATAAAAAGAAGCATTCAGACTAAATTCTCTAAAATCTCCACACTTTCCTTTTCCTTCCCTTCCTCCAGTGTTCAGACATTGAAGGTGTGTGTCCTCTCAGCTGTGACAGTGCTGTAAGTGCACAGCAGTTGTTTCTTGTTTGTTGCTCATCACTAAAAATCATCCTCTGTGTTAGAAGATCCTAAAGAGACCCGTTTCTTTCTGCTTCTTCCTGTTCAGGATCTGAGCTGTTACCTGGTCGACAACAACGGCTTTGTCGTGCTGTCCAAAGAGAGGAGAGAGGTAAGATCCACCACTCTTTACCACTATGCTTGTGGGGCAGTTCGTTTTAAAGGGACACTTCACCTCTGAATCAAATCTCTGTATTCTTCCTCTGGCCCTTTGGACTATTTATCCATCTGGATCATTTTGTTCAGGAGCCATCAGTCTGCTTTGTGATGCTCAAAGTCCACCAAAGAAATACACAGACTAAAACGTCAGCAGCAGAAACTATGATCCAAATAAAATAAACCTTCTTGTGAGGAATTTCATGGCGCGAACTTTTCTCTGATTGCTCTGTCAACCAAACTTTACGTCCTTTCACAAAGTCACATCCACACTTCAGTTTACTTCAGCAGAAAAAGATGGAAAATATCAAATGACCGCATCAGTTCCCTGTTTTCTAAATGACTGTTACACATTGTTTGGATATATAAAAATTGTTGGTGGGTATTTTGAAGTCAGAATTTTGTGTGCTTAAAATTTAAATATACCCAGCAACTGTATCTGTGCCCTTGCCTACAGTTTTAGATCTGCACTGCAGAGTCATTTTGGCCTGCGATGATTTCGAGCAGTGACTTTATAATAGCAGGGATGCGTTGACAAACATCAGAGGATGCACTGTCACTCTCTCCTATAGACTGTGTGCTTTCACAATGACGTTTGGAGCACGAGTACTCTCTCTCTCAGTAATAGTGCCTACCTGCTTCTCAACACGTAGCATTAGACAAATCATCCGGGTTAACAGACAGTTAAAGGGAGGGTGAAAGACAGGACGCTGGGGGCAGCTAAATGCTGCATTGCCCGAGAAGCTTGAGTTGTGTACGATATTCAGTATAGTATAGTGTTGGTTTGTTTGTTTTTTAACCTCCTAAGACCCAAGCTCTCTCATGGCATGCATTTTTAATTTTTCTTTGCTATTTGGGCTGATTGGGACCTAAAAAATGTAAAAACAAAGAATTACAAGATTTGTTTTTTGTCTTTGAGAAAAATGTGATGTCCACATATGTGGACACAAGGTCCTTAGGAGGTAAAATACCACCAAATCACAACATTTGCTCCAAGGCACTTTATACTTTTAGGTAAAGACCCTACAGTAATACAGAGAAAACCCCAATAATGCCCCCCCTGTGAGCAAGTGCTTGGCAACAGTGGGAAGGAAAAACTCCTTTTTAACAGGAAGGAAACTCCAGCAGACAGCTTGGAGGTTTGGGGAGGAAGATGAGTATGTGAAAAAAGTCAAAAAGTATCTTTACACCGAATTTATAGAGGCTGTAAATATGGAGTGTGTTTGGTATAAGAGTATTTGAAATAATCCCCAAGGACATTTTTTGAAACAGATTTTTGTTTGTTTGTTTGTTTGTTCTAAACCTTGTTTCCTATCTTGTTTTTCTAATGTTGACTTTAAATCCTGATGTTGTGTATGAAGGGAAAATGTGAAAAAAAAACAAGGCTCTGGCTCTTCAAGGGGTTTCTTGCTGTTAAATGGGAGTTTTTCCTTCCCACTGTCACCAAGTGCTTGCTAATATTGAGTCGTTTGATTGTTGAAGTTTCTCTCTATTTTTGTAGTGTCTTTATTTTACATTACAAAGCACCTTGAGGTGACCATTATTATAGATTTGGAGTTATATAAATAAAATTGAATTGAACTGACCAAGAAAAACTGGGTTTTGAATCCTCTGTTTAACCTGCTTGGAGTCAAGAAGTTATGTTTATTTTTGATTTTTAAATTTTTAAAATGCGATCATTGTCGTGGATGTGTTGTCCGTCTGTCAGACCTGCAGTCAGAGTCAGGAGGTGATTTCTCAGCCTGACGCAGCTCTCTGGACCATTTAATGTGCTCATAATCAACATCTGGATGCCTCACAGGATTTGAGGACAGTTTGGGTCTTAATCTGTGTGCGTGTGTGATGCATTAACAGTAAACATCACAGCTGCTGCGCCTGCCTCCTTCGTCTGACCTGTGAAGCAGGATAGATCTGACTTCGCCAGGCTGAGATCACACTTGTGTTTACGTGTGGGTTTAAGTCCATCTCATCTCTTCTCAGAGAAAAGCCCTGCAAGTAGAATTTTCTTGCAAACAAGGAAAACTTACTTACTTCCCTGAAGCATGCTCACTGTGTTTTCTGTCCTACGTCATTAAAACTCAAACCTCCACTTCCATCAAGGCCAGTGTTAAAGTAAGTGGGAAAAACTCTTGGATCAGCCCTTTATGGTTGCACCATGAGTGCGCACTTGCATCATCACAAACTTTCAGAAGAGGAACAGTAAGACAATCACACATATTTACAGTACTGATGAAAAACATCAGAGGAAAAGGGAGGGTTGGAAATTGTACTTCATGTTTCTCAAATGAGAATGACTGCAATCTTTGCCTTGAGTGATTGTGCTGCAGATATTTCAGCTCCAGTTGTGTTTTAAGGACAACACTGTAATTAAACACAAAGGATTTATTTTTTAATGTTGACAGTTTAGTTTTAAAAGGAAGTTTTGCCACTCGACAGGCCTATGGGCAGTCATTTTAATATCTCTGTCTAAATCAGTGGGGATTCTTAACTTATGTATGGAATTGCTTTTCAAATCTGATATTTTTTAAACTGCATCAAGACTTCTGAGTTAGTCCTAAAATACGTTTTAAAAGTTGTTTGTTGTTTTTCCACAAGCCACACGACTTGGCGGCATCATGGCGTCATTAATGGTACAACCCAGAGTGCTAATGCAATCAGCATCTCTACTAATCCCACAAGAAAACATAACTGTCGCTCTGCTAATTCACACAAAGAATGCAGCAAATTAAGAAATGCAAAAAGAGTAGATTAGTCTGCAACCACACAGCTGAAAGTCTCATGAACCTCTGCAGTGTTACTGCATCAGCACAGCTGCCTTTTTTAGCTTTTTCAAAATTACTCCACAGATTGATGGCAGAGCCAGACAGCAGACATTTATTATATTTTTTATATAGTTTTTTGTTGTGTTTCAGTTTTAAAATCTGTAGCAGTATTTTTTCCATTAATATTTATTTATATAACAGAACCAAAACATTAGAACTGTTACATAATGATGTGATGTGGTAATTTGCAGACCTCATGTTGGTGCAACTTCATTACAGCTTGGAAGATCAGGTGGTTGCTCGTTGATTGCAATGAATTTTTGTTGTTGTTATAAACTGATTGCAAGTAGTTGCAATGCCCAGAAGTTGAATGTGCAGTAGCCTCAACCTCTGGGTGATCACTTTTAATCAATCAGCAATTTCACAGGTTGAGGGCAATAACCTTTGTTCAGACAATCACAGTCCAGCTCGAACTGACTGCAATCAGTCTCAGATAGATTGGCAACAAATAATTGCTGTCTTAATTATAAATGCAATCATATTGACATGACTTGTTTGTGTTGTGTCTCTTTGCAACTGGGGATTTCACTCTGGTTGTATTTTGGTTATACAGTATTGTGTGAAACATACTGTATGTCTGCGAAGGTTCTCAGTCATCCAGGTCATCGTAGTCTAAGGAGCTTGGAAAGAAAAGCGTCTGGACTCTTTTAATTTTCTTGAAGACGTTTCATCCGAGAAGCTTCAGGTCTAAGAGTAAATGGTGGCAAGTCTCAGATTTTAAGCCCCATAGGATTGTCCTCCAAGGGGGTCATGTACCCCCTATTGATCCTCTACCTAATCACACGAGCCAAGGTGTGAAAACGGGTGTGGGTCACAATCAGCCAAGGTTTCAGGTGAGCCCACTGGGCCATTTCCTGAGGTCAAATGACCCAAGATGTGAGTGGGCGTTACTGTTAAGCCACTCCTCATTTCTTTATATTTTGCTGGGAAAATGGGAACTAGGAATTAGGTTTATTGCTCCCTGAAATGGTGACCAGTTTGGGCAGCATGGTTGGTAGCCCTGTTACCTCACAGAAGGTCCTGGGTGCAAATCCATCACCTGGCTGAAGCCTTTCTGTTTGGAGTTTGCATGTTCTCCACATGTCTGTGTTGGTTCTCTCTAGGTACTCCTGCTTCCTCCTCGCAGAATTATTACTTAAGACCATTTCAAAAATGTACCAAGAAGTCTGGCTCCTTGGAAGCAAAATATAAAGAAATGAGGGGCAAGACTTTTGAACAGTACTTTATTGCTATGTGAAAGTGAAGTTTTAAAACTTGTTTAGAAAGAACAAGGAGCTGAGCCTCACTCCTGAAAAACAACCCCACATCATAATCTCCTCTCCATGAAAATGTACACTTGGCACAGTGCAGTCAGATGAGTTTCGTTCTCCTAGCAACCACCAAACCCAGACTAGTCCATCGGATTGCCAAATGGAGAAGCATGACTCTTCACTCCAGAGAACACTGTTTTACATCACTGCATCCAACACTTTGCATTGCACTTGGTGATGTATGGCTTGGATGCAGCTGCTCAGCCATGGAAAGGTATTCCATAAAGCTCTATTCTTAAACTAATCTCATGAAGTTTGGAGGGTTGTAGTGACTGGCTCTGCAGAAAGTTGGCGACCGCTGAGCACTATACACTTCAGCACCACTTTGTTATAATACCACTAGAAGTTGACTGTGAAATATTTAGCATCAAGGAAATTTCCCAGCTGAACTCCATCTTATCACGGTACCACCCTGGAATTCAATGACAGCAACCAGTTCTTTCATGAATGTTTGTAAAAGAAGTCTGCCTAGGTACTTGATTTTAAAAACCTGTGGCCATGGAAGATATTGGAACACCTGAATTTAATTATTTGGAGTGAGTCAATACTTTTGGCAATATAGTGCGTGTTACCATAAGGTGATGTCATCCAGTAAAGAAATGTGAGGACTGCGAGTTTGCTGTCCATCTGACAGCTGCTCGTTAACTCTGGATTAACCCAGCCTGTTAAGAGCCACATTACTGAGGATTAATCCTGAACCTACCAAACTTCCATACATGCACAAACTCAACATATACACACTCTGGTACAGAGCGGCCATGTTCCAATCCCACATCTGCTGCTTCGCTTAAAGTATTTCAGCTTTTTAACTTGCCTCCGGTACA